CCAAAGCATCCAAATGAACAGGAAAGAGCACCTCAGTTCTTTTAGTTTAGTTGATGATAGTGTTGTGGTTTGTGAGTGATGATATTCACAAAATAGAAGCATGAAGATTGAACAGTTGCAAATGTCCCAGAAGTGTTTTACAATTGGGACTGTGTGGACACGTGAGCAGTGTGGAGAAATGGATCAGCATACAGTGCAGCATTTTCCTAAAGCCACACTTGTTTTGATAGCGCACAGTAAAAAGTCAATTTTGCTTCTAAGTGAGGTGGCTCTGATTCAGAAGAAAGGCAGGAATCAGAGTGTGTCATCCTCAGGTAGTAGATGTCTTTTTAATGTCTTCCTTCTCTGGCTACAGCAGAGATCGTGACAAATTGAACTGACTTTTTTCAAGTCCTGTTCTTGCAAAGCAATTAGATTTTAACATCTGCATTAGCTCTTCCTTTGGCTTACCGTTCCAGATTTCTACTTGAAGTCTTTATTTCTCAGATACTAGGCTGTGATTGATAATTAAATCGTTGCAAGTGCAGTATGAGTCATGTGAAACAGGGTCAGAATACATAAATGTGTATCTGGAGAGCACAACATTTACTCCAAGAGAACTAACACAGAAAAAGCCCACTGCAGTTAACCACACAATTCACTTGCTCCCAGTATACTGGTAAGTATTCCTGGTTTCTCAATGGAGTACCTAAGCATCCAGCCTGCATAAACTGTGAAATGTAATTACCCTGACATATGGGAAATCTCTGGCAGGCACAGACTTGGCATGGACAGCACAGCATCACCCCGCAAAGGCCCCTGGAACTGGAGTGTATTGGAGACACGGCCAGCATGTTCCGAAAGCTCAGCTATTTCCGAGCCTCTGACTGAACAGCAGAATAGTTCAATTTGCTGTGTCCCTGGAACAGCCTTTTGGCAGGATGCAGTGTATCCTTCCTTTCTCCCCATTCCTGCAGCTTTTGCACCTGAGTCAGAATTTATGGGTTTGAAGTTTCTGCTCTCTGGATTGACTCTTTTTCCTCATCTGAAAAGGGAAATTGAGCAGCAAATGTTTTCCTTTAGTTTGTGGAATTTTCCTCTTATAACCTGGCAAATCCTGGTCTGAATTTTATGTTAAAGGAAAATACTGCAGGTCATCACCTGTAACTGTGTTTCTTGATTACTTGGTAAATTAATAACAGACACGCAACTCCAAGTTAGCCTACCCACATGACTGAGCTAAGAAAATAGAACAAGTGTTGAATGTGCGACTTTAAGATTTGGGGGAGGGATAGATAATCTAAGAAATTTCCTAAATTCATGTGTGCTGGTTTGTGCAAATGCAATGCCAGCTGGATACAACTTGAGATGTACAGTTGCAAGTTTGGATCCCAGTGTTTACAAGAAGTTCATAAAAATGTCTTAACCTTAGCAAAGGATAGCTATTAAAGAGCTCTTCTCTTGAAGTCTTCTTGCATATTTACTGCAGCACTTCTCTGCCTGGATTAAAGAAAAAACTGCTGCTTCCAAGCTTTTGATTACAAAGCAACTTAGCACAAGTCAGTTATTGCTGTGGTCCTTAAAAGCTTTAAAGCTTGCCATGTACCAAAGCTCTATTTAACACTGCACACCTAACTAGAGTTAACACTATTATTATTCATCATTTGTAAGCAAGTTAATAAAATCTTTGATATGTGAATATGTTTTCATCTTAGAAGTTTTCCACAGTTCCTAACATGGCTTAAGTTGCCCTATTTTCACTTGAATTAAGGCTTAATTAGAAAGATGTGCTCTTTGCCTTACAACCTTACCCTGCCTTACTGTGAGATGGTAGTAAAGCTGGGGATACCACTAATAGTAAAAATAAGCATTTGCCTTTAAGTCTGGCAATTTTAAGGTAAAATTTAAGGTTTCTAGAGACAGTACAAAGGACTGAAGCAAAATATTCAACTTGAACTAATTAGAGTTACTAAATCACTGTCTATGTATACCTTGGATATTAAGTGTAATTTTGGTTTCTCTAAGCTTGGAAAAAACCTCCAAAAGCATTAGGAAGCAGGATTTAAAAAACAAACAAAACAAAAACACACAAACCTAGAAACCTGCAATAGCCATAACATTTGCAGAAAGCAAGGCAGTTTCCTGCTTAAATGGATTCCAAACATAACATACATGGAGACAGACTTGCCAGATTGAATTCTTAGTTAAGCTAAGTACAACGGACATTGCAGAAGTTGTGTTTATGCAGGCTTGGTGCATCTTTGCAGAAGGTAGCTCTTCATTTAGCTTTAAGTAGAATTTCAAGCAGTCCTAAAACTTGGTTGGAAAGCACCATTATGTGTACAGTTGTTTTCAAAGTAGTTCTTCCAGCCCAGAATGTGGTCATCAGTAAGAGGTACTTAGTTTTCTCAGGTTAGCAAGCTTTGACTTGGGAACTACATTAATTTGAAGGTCTGGCTTTGGTGACTATTGGTGCTTGTTTGATGCTAAATTATGAGATAGACTAGTTTAATTCTGTACAAATTACACACACTGCATCAAGCCTTGGGTATGAGGCACTGGAAAAGGTTGCCCAGATGTGTTGTGGATGCCCCATCCCTGGGAGTGTTCAAGGCCAGGTTAGGTGGGGCTCTGAGCAACCTGGTCTGACAGAAGGTGTCCCTGCCCATGGCAGGGGAGTTGGAACAAGATGGTCTTTAAGATTCCTTCCAACCCAAAGCATTCTGTGACTCTATGTGCAGTTCTACTCACAGTTCATGGGCTTTTTCAGGCCTCCAGCCGGTCAAGATTTAGGCTATGTCTTCATTATATAAGCATTCTATGTCTGCAGTAGGAGCAGAGCTGGAGAGCAATATGGTTGGTGCTGAGACCTTGACACCTCTGAAGTTTTTATTTCAGCCTAGAAATAAAAAAACACCTTTTCTATTCCAGCCCAGACCCTGGTCTGGTCCAGTTGAATAAACAGGTTGACTGCAGCTAGAGGCATTCCAAGAGCTATTTCTTGCTTGAGTTTTGCTGTAAGTGAATCCAGTTTTGTGCACTGAGAACACTGCACAAACAAGCCAATCATGACAAATGGTCTGCTGGCTTGGAAAGCATAGAAGAGCTCTTCGTTAAATATTAAAGTAACTAAAAACAATGTTTTATATCCTTGGTGCAGTGTTCCTGCTGGTTTCCATTTTCAAAGTGTTAATTCACAGAACCCTTAAGGTCAGTCAGTACATATAATAATCTTGAAACAGTTATTCTAGGTTCTGCTCCCCCCTTTCTCCAGGTGCACAAGTCTTTTTGATGTCATATCCAAGAGAGCCATCACTAAAATTATTATGGTTGCATAGCAACCTCAATGTGATAAATAACTGGTTTAAGACAGTCTTTACCTGTGTATTTCTTTTCCACCAGGAGCCGAACAGTTTCCTACCACTGAACTCTTATGAACAAAGCTCTTGAAGAAAAACATATGCAGTGTTTTATGACTAAAGAGGTTTCTTTATTCAAATATCTTGTTATTTCTAGGCACTGTCACCAAATTACTGCACCAAGTTATCTTCAAGTATGCAGTATTCCAGCATTGTAACTTCTCTGCAAACAGAACACCAAGTCCTATCTTGTCTTCCCTGCTTGGATCATCAGTTAAAAGCACAACAGAAATATTCTAAGTGTGAACGTAGAAATGAACTAATACTAGTAATCCAGCTGTAATTGCCAAAAGCATTATTTTTTTTAATATAGCCAGCTAAGTCTTCTCTACAGAAACAAAACTAAACATGGACAAAACCAAGTTATATATTCCCAGTTTATTTTATTTTTGTGGAATGCTAATTTAGTTACAATCTGGCAGTTCATAACTACTGAAATGTGACATTAATTCATCTCCAATGTTGCAGAACTGTCTTGATTTATATAGTTTTAAAACAATCTTATTTTACAATAGTTGAGGTCTCTGGTGGTTTTTAAGCTCTGATGCTTAAGCACACAGCAAGCTACAAACCTTAGGTTTTATATTTATACATATATTCTATGTATTCAGACAACTGCTGTAAGTTATCTATAATTTAATATTTATAAAAAGTGCATATACTCATCTAGAAACACACTTTTACTACTGCCTCCCTTTTATAAAAAGCTGCACATCATACAGCCATATTTATCTCACTTACTGCTATTAAAGTCCTTTNCATATGCACATCTAGAAACACACTTTTACTACTGCCTCCCTTTTATAAAAAGCTGCACATCATACAGCCATATTTATCTCACTTACTGCTATTAAAGTCCTTTACTATCTTTGTTACACAATTTCAACTATCCATTACCTCAAACTGAATGTAGGTATTTCTATATATATTTTTTCTCCTAAAGAAAAAAGTCCTCCCTATTCCTTTAAGAAGCTCTAAATCATGCATCAGTTTAGTAAACAGTCACTTTAGCATGGATTTTAGAATCCTAGACAGTGTAAAATCTACTTCTGGAAAACATCTGTCTGTATATTTAATTTCTTCTTTTACTTACAAAAAATATATAGGATTGAAACATACTGAATACATGCATCTCTCAAAGTGGCTATATTCTAGCCTTATAGATAAATTAAAAAAGTACACCCTTGCTAACAGGATGCAAACATGGCCTCAAATAGGCCACTACCTGTATTTAATAGAGCTCATTACATTAAAAAGTTCAAGTGAGCTGTTCTCTCAAGATGGTGTCAAAAGACTGAATAGCATGATATATTTATATTCAATGTACAAAAGGTGAGTGCACAGGCCTAGTGCCATTTAATTATTCAATACTTCCAAGGCTTCTAGGCTTTGCCTCTGGTGATACAAGTCCTGAAATGATCCAAATGTAAGTTAAAGTTGAAAATTGCTTTAACACACCATAAAAGCAAGTTGCGTTTAAAAGAAAAATGTACACTGAAAAACCTGAAGTACTCACTGAAACAACTGTACAAAACTATTATAGATACAGAAAGAAATAATGGTGGACTTAACTTCAAAACACAAGAAACACTTGTTAACAAATGTAAAAACCTGCTTTGTTTTAATTCTTCTACCAAGTAAGAATTTGCAGCTGTTCAGAACAAGTAAAATTCAAACCACCTCACAATGTGTACATTTAAAGTTCTTTTATACAGTGCAAACGTTTAAGACAGAATAACTTCCCAGTGAAACAGGTGACACTACTTGGTGCCACTCTTCTAAAGATTCCTCTTTCAATAAGTCTATTTACACATTAAGCTAAAGGTTCACTCTATATGCTTTGAAGTTTGCTGAATATCAGCAGAAAAATGTGAACTAGCAGCAGTTGTATTACAAATATGTGATGGTTACTTTAACGAATGCATAAAGTTTTCAAGACTGTATTCAGTGTCATACTGCTCTTGATCCCAAAGTTCTCCAAGGTTTTCGAGTACTGATTTCATTGATGCTTTCCCAGAAGAGGTAGAGGTATCTGCTTTTTCAGTTTTCCCATCCTTTGCAAAAGAAAAAAAATACAGTTAATATACAGAATAACGTTTTCAGGACTAAAAAAATTCAAGTCTGATGATTCTTTTGGGGAAATATCAGTTCCTCCTGTTTTTCAGAGAGCTGTCTACTGTTCATCAGTCCAACTTAAAGCATTCATGTGATTAAATTTTACATTTCAAAGCAAAGCTTTTCCTTAAGCTTACTCTATTTTTGGTAGGTATTTGTAAAAATGTTTCTTTACCTTGTCAAGAGTGAACAGATCAAGAAGCTGCTCTGTTCCCATGCTCTGTAAGCTTGCATTTTCTTGGCTGATCACTGTATTTGCAATATTCATTTTGAACTTTTGAAGACCCATGATCTTCTCCTCCAGAGTTCCCCGGGTTATCAGGCGATACACATTAACAACACGTTTCTGAAAGAAAAGCACACACTTAGCTATAAAGTATCATCTTAGGTATTTAGGAGAGCATAAGCGTTCAGTGTTCATCATGGACAGTCTAGAAGCAGTTTGGCTTGGAGTTACCCTTCAGTAACTGTACTCAGTAAGTCTGACAAATGCTAGATGAAAAGAATATGCCAGTGTATAGTAGAGGCATTTTCAACTGCATCTGTACTTTGGAAGACTTCACTGCTTTTTACAGCTGTACAGGAAGACTAACAGCAGTCATTCTTTCCCTGTTCAAGCATCAGAGAAGGACAACCCTGGGGGGCTTCCCTTCAGTTCCTTGCCTCAGTCATATCTCTTCCTCTACTGAAGGGTGATTCTTTCCTGGCCTCTCCTCAGCAGCTCAGGAAGTATAGAGAAGGTGGCACACCAATTTGGAGACAGAATAAGAAAGTACACACTACAGCATCTGGCATATTTGCAAGAAATCAGCACGAACGGAAGCTTGATGGAAACCCACAGATGTCACTTTTTATACGCTACAATCTATCGTACCCAAATTCGAGTTCAGCAAGAAAAAAGCCACACTTATGGGAAATGAAGAGGTTTTCACCTGCCCAATGCGATGTGCCCGATCCATGGCTTGCAGGTCTCTCATTGGGTTCCAGTCATGTTCCACAAATACTACTGTATCAGCCCCTGTTAAGTTAAGTCCCAATCCACCAACATGAGTGGTGAGCAGAAGAACATCTATAGATGGGTCATTATTAAACCTGCATACAAGAAAAAGTTAAGTATGGTTAAGTTTCATTTATATAAAGGATGTACGAGCTTTAACGGCTTTGAGGTAGACAAAAGAACAATTATGCACCATAAAGTTCATTGCAGTTGGCCCCATATGGTTATGAGGGGATAACACGTACCGTGAAACAATGGAATGCCTCTGACCAGCAGGGATGCTGCCATCTAGTCGTAAGTAAGTGACTGAAGGTAACTGAGGTCTGAGAAGGTCATGCTCCACTATATCCAGCATACTTTTAAGTTGGCAGAAGATAAGTACTCTGTGCTGGGCCACAACAGCTTCTGTACCGCTTTCTGAAGATCCACCATTCCCCAAACCACAATCAAGCAGCAGCTTAAAGGAACAGAGCATTGAAGTGTATCATCAGAATGGTAGCAGATCTCATGTAAGTATTGACATTCATGGACTATCAAAAGTAAAAATGAGAGAAACTACAGAAGGAAGCCTGTGACAGTCACTTAAATGACATAAGGCAAAGTCTGGTTTCAGTGTCAAACTATGAAAAAAATTAAGCACTGCCAGAAAAGTAATTTTCTTCATTTAGCTTTACTTACAGTAGAATTTAAGTAATACAATTTAACTTTATCAAGGTAATAGTGTCCTGTATAATACACAAGACAAATTTTTCAGCAACCAAAAAGACAGAAATAAAACAAAATAAAAGGTTTCCAATATGGCAGCAAAAATTATGTAAACATCATCACCTTGAATTAAGATTGTGCTCCCCCTTCCCCCTTGAATTATCAGGAAAAATATACCTGGAATATCCTTGTACTCTTTTCCATTTGCTACTTAATTTTATTAAGAAGAGTTTTCATACCGATAAAATCCTAAATAAAACCTTCTAAGTTATAACATCAGTAGACATTTAGAAAATTTAAAGGCACAACCACATGTCTACTTACTTGTTTTAAAGCAGACAGTTTAGGTGCATGTTGGATATCTCGAAGGGATGAATTCTGAGCTGCAAGTTGCTCTGTAATTCTTTTATATTCCGGATGTTGGGTTGTTAGCACTAAGGCTGGATGGTTGCATAGCTTCCGTAAGTATTGCAATGCCTTTAATTATTTAGGAAGTGAAGGTCAAAGAAATGGTTAGCAAGAATGTAGATTCAGAAAAAAGATGAACAAAATTGACTATAAGTACAGAGGCCACTCAGCCACATTTCACAATGTAGATCTTATGGTGTATTTTCATGAAAATAAAGTTGGACATTTACATTAATAAAATCTGTATTTCAAATTGTATCCAATAACTGTTACATGCATAGGTCCCTGTTGCAGGAGAAGTGCAAAGACTAACATCTCCCACACTTGCATCTGAGTGTGCAACAGAGGAGGTGGGTCTGGGAGCAGTGCAGAGCCTTTGAGAATTGTTGTTTCCAATTAGCCAAGACTTAATCTGCAATTCTGTAAGATCACAAACCTTCATAAATTCAGATCTAATCTTAAGGAAATTTTTTGTCCGTGTTTTAGAATCTTAACATTGTAGTATACCAGCTGATGAAGTCCAAATTACTTCTCCCTTGTTTTGAGGTTTTGCTCTTTCAGTAATCAGTTTTTACAAGATCCACAAAACAGCTGAACACCAGTTGAGCAGATAGCATTAAAAATACAAGACAGGGTTATGCTTCTTAAAACAAACCCATAATTTAAAACAACAGCTATTCATCACAATCCAGGCATAAATATTCTACTTAGATCATATAGCCATAAATGTTTCGGTTCAGTATTTTCATTTTAATTTATTAAACCCATAAATACAGTTATCAAGAGTCTATGTGATAGGAAATAAAAATTACTAAAGCAATCTGTACCTGAAATACATGACCTGTAGCTTTAAGCTTTGGTTTTTCAGTCTCTTCATTCAGTGAAGAAACGGTTTCATCAATATCACATTTGGCACGAGACTTGGCAAAATCTTCATAAAGCTGAACCTGCAGATGAGGCCCCAGACAAGAAAATGAATGTGTTTTCCCCCAACAGAAAACGAACAGTCCTATTCAGAGTTTAGTTCCAAGTTAAAATTCTGAATTATCATACATCAAGAAAGCTATTTCATATGCAACACAACATAACTATTAATAATGGAATCTCCTGTCATTTGTTTTCTTTCAACCTGGAAAGTTTTATTTAAAAACAGCCTGCATATGCCTAGATGTCGTTCCTGAACAACAAATGCCAGAAATTAAACTGAAGAAATACTCTATTACAACTAGGCTAAAATTAGTTTTTTAAGCACATACCAGAAAACCCTTTTAGTCCTGTGGTCCTAGAGAATGTCAGAGCTGACATCAGACTGACACAGGAATATAGAAGTGGTTCCTTTGTGGTCTTAACTGTATTGAAAAAACTAAACTTTCAGCCACTTTTTAAGCATACCTGTAGAGGACTGAGAATACAGTAATAATCTTGAATAATTTTGGGTGGGAGGTCTTGCAGCACATCCTCTTTCATTCTCCTTAGCAGGAATGGCAGAACTTGGCGGTGCAGTGCTTCCATTGCAAGAACCCCTAGTGAGGGCAACAGAAGCTGTATTTTTGAAGAAAAAAGATTTTCAAAACATTCAGCTCCCCCCCAGTCTCTGATGTTGGAAATGACCACACTTGCTTTTCAGTAACAGTTCTCATTTAAAAGGCTAAAACAAAACACCAAAGATTGAACATTTGGTCCTTACCAGCCTCTTGTTCTCGACTGGAGCTTCGGGCATCCCTACTTGCCAGTATTGGTTTGCCATAACGAGCTGCAAACTGGCGTTCAGTGCCCAAAAATCCTGGCATAAGGAAGTCAAACAATGACCACAACTCTAAGACGTTGTTCTGGACATAAAAAGAAATATTTGATAAATTATTTTCAAAAGAAATAAATCAATACAAGTTATCAGAAAAACTTCCATGCATATTTAACGCCGCCTACAAAGCCCTACAAATCTAACACTTCAACACACTTCCAAGCTGCAGGAGCTTGGTAGCTCTTGCATTCAACTGAGTGACAGGAATACATCTACATGCACTTTAACATATAAATGGACTTTCTACTGTGTTGGATGTCTTAAGCCACACCTTGAGTTCTTCTGGACAACAAAACCTGGGAAACACTAGTTATCTTAGTCCTGGATGAGACACGTACTGCACATAAGTCATCAGCACAAAGCCCCAAATCTGGAGTTCTCAGAATTGTGTTTCCTGCTAATTTCACTATCCCTGCCTGATACTTAAAGAACAAATGGTAGAGAAAGTCTAGCTGACAACTTTTGAACATCATTAGTACCACGAAACCTGCACCCATTCCCCTATACATGGGTAAACCAGGAAGGAGAAAGATGTCATTTAAAGCATTTAGCAGCAAAAGGCTGTTTTACAACGTATACTTTGAACAAGGTGATTGATAAAAGGTACAATAAAATGGACTGATAGATCTGTCTTGCTTGTTTTCTTATTCATCAAAAAAAAAAAAAAAAGAAAAAGGGGCAGTTACCTGGATTGGTGTCCCAGAAAGAATTATCCTGTAATTAGCAGTCAGCTGTTTTACTGCTTTTGACAGCTTTGTTTTTCCATTTTTTATTACATGGCCTTCATCAAGAATGCAGTAATTAAACTTAATATTTCTAGAAAAGAAGAACACAGACTTAAGTAGTATTTAAAATTCTAAGCTATTAAAAAATCTCTGAAAACAAGCCAATTCTTACCTGAAGAAGTCGATGTCATTTCTTACAACATCATATGAAGCCACTATGAGATTGTGTCTTTTCACCTGGTGTTGCAATCTTAAGGAAAAAAAAAAGGAGTTAAAGTGTTCCTTACATAGGTTACTATTTCAGCCTTTAAAGGTACCATCACAAGCTTTCCCATGCCCACAACTATGCTTCAGTAGTAAAGTGAATTGTAAAATTCCGCATGTGATATTTTACTCTATCCCAGTCATAAGTGCAAGATAGATTACCTTGCTCTCTCAGTAGGAGGTCCTGTGTAGTGCAGTGGATTAAGATATTCTTTCGAGCAAAATTTGCCTACTTCATCCACCCAGTGTCCTGTGAGTGTAGGAGGGCACACCACCAGCGAGGGAAGAGGAACACTGTCCACTAGTTTTGTTCTTGCGTATTCCTGAGCCCTTTAAGAACACAAGAAAGGAGTTTTTCCACAGAAGAGGTGGGGTTGGAAGGGACCTCTGGAGGCCATCTGGTCCAACCCCCCCCCCCCTTTCAAGCACAGCCACTTAAAGCCAGTTGCCCAGGACTATGTCCAGAGTCATTAACACAGACAAAACCTATCATTAAAACCTAACATTAAAGAATGTTGTTTAAGCTTACCTGAGGCAATGATCACCTGCAAGAATGCAAATGGACTGTAGAGTTTTTCCCAAGCCCATGTCATCACAAAGAATTCCATGAAGTTTGTATTTATTGAGAAATGCCAGCCAGTTCACTCCATCCTGAAATCAGAAAAAGAAGAGTGCCTCAGAAGTAAGAACTGGCTTTACGTAGTTATGCTTCAGTTCAAACATCCATATGTTCTATCATCCATCAGTGCCAAACTACGAGCTGGTTCCCACCATAAATGCATCCACTACAGCCCATTCCATCAAAGCAGGGGGGATAAAGGGAAAAATGTAAATGTCCAAACAGTCCAGCAAGGCCTGGCTTTAGAGAGGTGAGCTGCCACAGTCAGCCTAAACAAGGCACAGCCCATTGGCCATTCCCTGAGAAAACTAGCAGAATCTAGACAGGGGATAAATATCATTTTGCCAGTATAAGAAGTATGCATTACTTCATTTTTTCTTCCTTATTCAGGAGTCCAAGATACACATTGCACAACTAAAAAAACAACCTTCAAAAAACCCACAAGCAAGAAGCCAATACTGAACAACTCCTACCAGTCCATGAAATTGTATTGGACTGCAACTTACTGCTCTTTTAAAATCAAAGTATAAGCTGTTACCTGCTGATATTTTCTGAGCTCTGCTTTGATTGGTACTGGAATTTCATAGTTTTCCAGTTTTTTTCCATCCAGTAATTGTTCCAGAAAGTGACGTTCTTTAGCTTTCATCCTGATTAATTCTTCGGACATGTTTGGTGGATCTGGTATACCAGCCTAGGATAACATTTTTAAAGCAGTAATGTAAGGCCTACAGGGCTTAGTTGTCACACAGAGAAGAAAAAAAACCTCATACTAGCTTAGACATTTTAAACAGACAGTAAAGATCTACAATCTTCTCAACTGCACGAATCCAAACTCAGGATTTATATACTGTATTTGTGCTATACTTGTTTGACTACTTGCGGGTCAACACACCCAGGATGTGACAAATTCTGCCCTAAAGGACACACTGAAAAACTTGACACAAGAAGGAAAATTCTGGTCAAGCTTCTATGACTGAGCTATTCTACCTCTAATCAGAGAGTTTATCTGGCTAGCTAGAGAAGCCTTTGACACTCTTTTCTCTTAAACCACAAGCTACTATCCAAAGTTTGATGGATTTTTCTCCTATTTAGTGGAATTATATCTAAAGCACTACTGAAATCCATAGGATGAATTCAAGCAGTTGGAAACTGTTGAGAGAAGGAAAAAACCTAAACCTCCTTCAAGGTTTGTAGCAGCAGATCTTGGCTTCCTAGGTATTTCCCACATCAGGCCAGAAGCCCAAAGAATCCATCTGGGGGCCAAACATGCTCAGACATTCTTGTTTGTTAGTAATATACACTAGAAGAGGAAACAGTTTTCCCATCATCACATCTGTTGCCCCAGTTTTCTGGGCCACCTCCACCTTTAGTTAGCTTTACTTCAAAACCCATATATATATTTAATATAGTTCAGTATCTGATATTGAACTTCCTTAACCAGAAAGGGAAATTCTAAGGCACTTCCCTAGTAACTATGAAAAAGAAATATGACGTGATTGTGCATATGCATGCAATTAATAGAACAAGTATGCTATGTTTTTAAGAGATGGTCAATACATTCTATTAAAATAGCTTTTAAAACCCCCAAAACCTAAGCTATATGTATTCCACAGGACTGTGTTTAAGATACATACAAAGAAGGACACTGGTGCCAATGGCATCAGAATGAACATGCCAGAAATTAATTCATTCTTCACTAACTTTCAACTTCAACATTTCAGTGTAAGCATGCAGAAAAAGTAAGTGCTCCTGTTAAGGCAGATTGCTAGTTATCAGATGCTAAGGTTTTATTATGTTAAAAATATAATAAACCCATTAAATTGACAATTGGTTTTCATTATTACCATGGAAATGTATTCTAAACTGGTGGTCAAGTTACTTAGAAGCATTGTAGTCCTTGATACACAACATTAGAAAGTGTCTGAGGTGTGAACATTGTAGCAGAAGTGAAAAACTGCAGCAAGTCTGTACTGATTAAACTACTGCATCATAATACACAATATTTGGCCCAAATATGTAGGGCAGGGTTTTTTGATTTAAAGAACTAGGAATAAGTGACTCTACTTATATCCACATTATCCCTATTGTTATTTTGTTTTTTCCTTTAAAAGCAGTACTGCTTTTATGCATTTCTCTTGACCACATACACAGCAACACACATACCTAGGGAGAGTGCACATGTAACTCCTATAACTTTTGAGCTCGAACTAACAAACAGAACAAGCACTGCACACAAAATTAATAAATATACCCTTTAACTTTGTGTACACAGTTAAAATGAGCTTCTTATAAGGAGAAAGTTTATTTTAACATTAACTTAGACAATTGCTAACACAGGGTCCCATTTTTGCTCATTTTACTTACAAAGGACACTTCCATTATCTGATAGGGACTCAACATCTATAAAACCATTTACTTATTCAGCATTTAATAAGTCAGAAGCCTGAACTTCGCAGCTGGTAAAAAAGTGGATACAGGGTAGTTCATACACTCAATATACTTAGAGTTTGAGCTTACCTCAAGAGGCATTAGTCTAATTAATGTTGCAAAGCACTGAGTAGCCATAAAACGTACGCTGTTTGTCTGATCACTCATTCTACCCAGAACAGGAACCACCAGAAGAACAATGTATGGAACAATACCAACATCCAGCTGCTCCATTACACCTGAATTGGTTATTAAGGAAATAGTTTGTAACAGTTCAGGACTGTCTGACAAATATATACCCAGCAGACTTCACACTCAATATGGAAAAGTCATTAATACATTACATTCAGATGAATAAGATTTCTAGTAACAAAGCAATGCAGAAGCAGGGAAATCTGATCTACCCAATTAACATTTAGCCCAGTGAACTGCATGGTTTGAGAAACCAAACCTTCATCTGATGGATAAAATAAGGGCAATGGAAATGAAAGTTTATTCTGTTTCATCCCACAGGAGGAAAACAGTTTAATATTTTATTTCATTTCTCCTCCCTTTTTTTTCTGGCAACAGTTTTTGTTCACCCAAATTAAGCAATAGCAAAGAAGTTTCTGCATTTCTGAATACTCAAGCAAGGATACATGCCAGTGCTTCAATTGCACCTTCTTGTTTGGTGTTGTCATCTATTGCTCCCAGCCATGGTAGAACTTTCTCTAGAAAGATATTCATTGTTTCCATGGTAGCTATTTTACTCATAACACCCACGCAACGGGAAGCCATGTGTCTCACGGCAGTGCTGGGATGTTGAAGGCACATGTAAAGGTGAGGCAAATGCTGTATTAACTGAACAGAGAAAAGGGTGGGGGAGAAAGGTTAATATGAATTATAAACAAATTAGTGATTTTTTTTAACTAAACAGTCTTTTTAAGTCATTTAAGAATGCTTGCAGTGGCTCCTTTACAAGACCGAACTGCTTAAAACTAAAAAATAGTTTCAGAAGAAACAGGCAATTGAACTTCGAACAAGTATTACTCCCCAATGCAGTTAAAATTCTCAGTAAAAAAAGAGCTAGGAGTTTAGTCCAAATGAAAATTAAAGAAGCCCTTAGTTGGCAAGGATGTGTTTCACACTGAAAATACAGTACTAAGTACTCAGAATTTTTTATTAAAAAAAAAAAAAAGAATTATCACTTAAATACAGACACAGATTTAAGAATTCCTTCCAGCTAGCAGATTTGTCCTAGACTCATCTCATTTGTGTTTAGGCTGATGAATTATTCATGTTAGGAATCTCATTAATTCTGTGTGACAAGAAAGACACTCAGAAGGAATCTGCATCTTCCCAGTGGGGTATGTGTGTATCTATGTCTTCTTTTTCATCAGTATAAATACACTTTTATATCAGGTATCTTAAACCAATGCTCAGGTTTTTCCTAATGTGAAGATCCCTAAATATTAGCTTTGGTGAACCAATTCCACCCTCCTTCACTTTCTGTGATTTTTCAAACCCGCATAAAGAATGAACACCCTCAAAACTAATCTACACAATAGCTACACACCACACATATGCAAACATATAAAATACACTTAAAGGAAGTCTTCCCATGTCATATGCAAAATGCACTCAAAATCATTTTAGCAGTTTATTAAGATGGGTAAGAAAATTCCACATGAGTCTTCTCCATCTGCTCAGAATTCTACAGCCATTCATTTTACCCATCTTTTCCAGAATTCTGGCCTACTTATTCCTTGCATGGGAGCCTTGTCAAGTATTTTTACCATCCTGTTGCCCTTCTCTATGCCTCTCCAGAGCTACTATACTTATTCTGAAATATAGTACTGCAGATAGGCTAGTACTGAAAACTGTGTTCAGATGCAGGCATAAGAATTCCTCCATTTCTTTAACTTTTTTTTTTTTTACCAGTACTTTAGATTCAGTTGATACTTTCACAGAACCATTCTAACTCCAGGATCTCTCTCCTGAGTAGAAATAGTCAGTTCAAAGAAGGAAATTATTTTTTAAATAATCAAATCTGGTCTAACTGGGGGTAAACTGAAGTTTCCCACAATTTTTGCATTCCCTGCACAGGCGGCCTTTCTGACAATCTTCAGCCTGTTACACAGTAGTCAGGCAGTAAACTCTCTTTATCACTACCATTTTGCTCCCACTCCAGCCACAGAAACTACATGTCAGACTATTGTAAAACAAATAATTTCAGTCAACCACATAGTGCAGCATAACCACATTTTTATCTATACTTTCATTACAAAGAGAAAGCATTGTATTATCAGTCCGTTCTCCAGTTTTAGGAAATACAGGATTAAAATAAAGCAGAGTCAAGATGCTGATGTCAATGCAACAGAATAGCATAAATATTATCATAACTCAAACTTCAGAAACAATCTTATCCAAAAAAGAATAGGCCAAGGCTAAATTGTAGGTAGCCGTTTGCTTTTGTGGTTTATTCTACAACCTGCATGAACAAATACTGAATTTAATATTCTACAGAACACGGGGTAAAAAAAGCTTTACAACTGCACAGCTTAACTGCTGAAGGCTATGTCTTGAGTTTATCAAGAGTAGGATACAGGACTTGGAGAACAGACAGACTAATGAGGGACTATTTGAGCAAAATAGAACAAGATCTAAAAAGAAGCCTTACAAAACAATAATTTAAAGCAGTAGCAATGAACAGACTGAAGTGTTTCATACAAAAGCTAATTACCAGAGGATGTAGCTGAGTATCCATTGAAGCTGCTGTTGTTTCAAAAACCTGCAAGGAATTTACCAGCTCCTGGGCAGGAGCATCTCCTTTTTCCAGTAATGACTTCCGGTCTGGTAAAAACAGAAAAGGTGTTCAGTTTAAGTCTGATATACTGCCCCCAGCCTACCCGCCCTCCCAGCTTAAATCAGAAGTGTAGTTACCAAAATTATTTATGTGAATGTTGTTCCGTAATGAACCAACCATAGCATCCCAGAGATGTGGCAATCCTGTTGCCATTTCAGCACCAAAGTGTTTAGCTATAGTAGATAAGGCAAATTCAGCTCCTCTTCTCTGTACAACATAAGGTTTCTGAGCCTAGAATTAAGCAATTAATCAAAGTAGTGAGGACAGACACATTTAAAAATAACAATTATTTTCAAGGAAGCTCCCATTATATAGGCATTCAATTTGGTTTAGACCTATGACACTACATTCTGATTTTTTTTCCCCCAAGTTAGTTACTTTATTCTTTATAGAGGTAAAAAAAAAAAAATCTTTTATAACAGATTATTTGAAGTCTATGAATTTGAGATTTGGCTTTTGCTGACACAGGTCCATTTCAGCATGATATTTTCCAACTGGTTCCAGTTCCAGAACCTTAGATATTGCCAATATAGTGACACCAAGAACAGTAGCAAAACTTATGAAAAACAATACTTGCTTTGTTATTAAACCCCTGCTCTTTGTTCCACTCTCTTTGGAAAGCAGAATTGATAAAAAACAGTAACAAATCAAGAACAAAATCCGCAACACTGTTTAGGAATCACAGTCTTGACTAGGATCTTAGTAAAACATACAGATTTTAAATTAATAAAACAGTAGCAAAAAAGTTTAGAATAATAAGTGTGGAAGTTGCACACACATTCTAAAGCCAGTCACATTTCAATTACTGGTTTAAATTCTTCAGAGGCATCCAGCACACATCAAGATGACTGGCATGTGTAAGAGGACACAATCACAGCAGTTTGTGGAAATCTATTTGTATGAATTTATATTGATATTTCTAATCTGCAGTAAACGTAAGTTTCAAGAGTTATTAGTTTTCTTAATGACACCCTGAAGATTTAAAATACAAACATGCTGCTTGTATCACAAAACTTCATATCAGCTCAGTTCTCTCACGAAGAGATCCTGGGCATCCCTATTATAGTGATATCAGTTCCAGTGAATTCAAAGTAACAGAAGGGAGGGGTAGCTGTGAAGTTGCAAATTCAAACTTCTGAAGTGTACCTCATCGAGCTCTGTAGGAATGCTTCCACTGCTGCCTGTGGGGAGATCTGCAATAGGGGCTTTTGGAGCTTTTGGAGTAGGACCTCGCCGACTTGTGATGGCAAAAGCAGCTTTCTGATGTCTGTAGAGTGTAATTATTCCCCTGTGCTTAGTAACTGTATGCTGCATCCCATCTTTATCAGAGTTGGGCCCTAAAGGAAGAGAGAACAGCTGTCAACAATTTAAGCTGCAGTTTAACACACTGGCAGAAGTGACAGCTACCTGTAAGTCACCTGCTGATTACGCTTCAAAAAAAGCCCAACTTTTTCCATCCTTGAGGACAATGGCACTTCAGTACAGAATACAGTTACTCTGTTAAGAGCACATTACAGACTTGGAATGAAAAATCAAAGCGTGCAAACCACCGCACAAATTCTTATTCAGCAAGAAGCACAGGTAACAAACTTCAATCAAATATAAGAAGTTTGCATAATTTTATTTCATATAAAAATGAATTACGTTCTAAAGTTTAAACAAACTTACGTTCTGTGTCCCTTACAAACAGTTCAATACTTCTGTCATGATACAGTAACAGATGTCATCAGTATCTTTGGATTTTTTGATGTTTCTACTTATACTAAAGAGCTTCTTTTTTAATCATATAATGTTATTCTACTCTGAGATGAAGGACATTCATGAAGAATAAGTAAAATGTACAATGGTCAAGCCTTAAAGCCGGTGAGAATCTTAGACTATTAAGATCTTAATTTGTGTTGTTCATTCAATGTACACATTTGCAGTGCGGGACAGCCATTTAATGAATCCATGACCATTGCATGTACAGGATTATTTGTTCATTTTGACCACTATCCTCATCTTTTTTTATCTTACTATTAGCCTATGGAATGTAACACAAGTCACTTTTTTTAACAGGCTACTCTAATTCCCATACTTACTCAATTCCAGAGAAAAGCTTTGTAGCATATATAAGTGAAATATGATCATAAGAGGACAATGTCAATAACTGAAAATTGGAACTGAAGTCTTTTATACATATATGTTCTGAAAACAACACACATTAGTTGCACACGAATTTAGTTTAAAATACCTAAATAAAACCATTACTAATAGAAACTCAGTTGCTGGCATTTTAAAATCACTGAAAACAAGACTCAAGTACTCATTTTAACAGTTCAGAAATAAGCACAGGCATATTTTAAGAATGTTGGCACTCAGATGTTGTACCTTTTGAGTTTTCATGGCTACTCTGAGGCTGTGCAGGACATGCTGCTAGTGGGGTAAGATGTGGATCCACACAGAGGGAGTTGCAGAGATTTTTTATAATCTTTGAGTTGGGACAGGGAGATCTTGTCGTACACTGCTGAAGCAACTTTGCTATACATGAAGCCACATAGTTTTGTACAAGTGTATTCTCCTCTTTTTTGATAGCTTCCATTAAGGGTTTTATAACAGGATTTAGTTTTTCTGGAAGTTGCTGCAAGTTCACAACTGCACATGCAGCAAATGTGTGCACTCGCAGATGCAGCACTTGCCATTCTTGATTTGTTTCTGTAACAGTCATTTGGACCTGCTGTCGCTTACTGTCCAACTGCTGTAGAACTTTAGGATTCAAAGTAAAGGATGATGTCACTTCATTGAAAACGGAAGTAACCTAAGAAAAGGGAAAACAAATAATTACAAATCTGTTTCATTTACTGTAAAACAGGATGTCCTCTCATGGCAGAATATGAGTCACTTGACCAAATATCTCCATTTTTTCAGCACATAACAGGAAATGCTCTAAGATGTAGTTTCTGGAATCTCGAACTGCAGTTCAAAGGGAAAAATCAGGCATCTTATAAGAATTTCAAGTCTAAATTTCCAAAGAACAGTTTATGCACTCCAAGTTTATTTACCAGTTCTATCCAGGTATTCTGGAAATATATAAGCAGGTGACAGGTAAGCAAAGGAGAATGTGAATACAAGAATCTAAAAAGGATGTGCAAGGCCTCATGGATGAACAAGTTGTTTCTAAGCCGTTTCTCTTTTGAGGAAAGAGACTGGGATAAAAATCTAAGGAAAAAAAAAATCAGCTTAACAAAGTAGTTGCAGGGCTTTCCATATCCTTCCCCACTCAGTTGACTACTGTTTCCTGTGAAAGATTTGGCATTAAAAGGAGATTAAAAGGTCAGAGGCAGGGGGCTAGGTCATCTAGAATTTATTTCCTAGTCTTTTGACAGTGGTTTTGAAGGGGATCCAGCCTGCTTTAGTTTCTTCTGTGTGGATTTCAATAGTGAATCCGCACCTGGAATCGTAACACTCACTTTTTTCTCCTCTTAAGTATGTACCTTGCACTGCTCTTGATTTTTGTCAGACTGTAAACACTGCAGGGGAAACAGTAAGTTTCTACACACATCCTTTGACATGAGATATGTAAAGTCACCACATTATTTCTGAAAGTTATTGTCTATGTAATAATTATGTCGAAGATGTATTTCAAGACAAGAATAGGTTTGAAGGAAGGGCAGGCATGCCTCTACTTACCAGCTCATTAGCTTGATCTATTGTAAACACACTACAGTTTACTCTGTTTCCAATGTCAATGTGTGCATCAGCTAACAATGAGATGAGTTGTTTACATTCATTTTGCATTCTGGTAAAAGGAACAGCAATTTCATCGTAATAGAGATGTTCAGAAAGGACCCCAAGTAAACGAGGCTGCACACAAATAGCCACAGTTGTACACTCCTGTAACAGGAAAAGACAGTTTGTAATTTTGAGTAATCACAATTTCTTTTGTTCAGTTTTGGATGCTAAACAGCTCAATCTAGCTACAAAAATCCAGTTTTCAGAGGGACCATTAACATTCATAACCCAGAATATAAATGATCAGGAGCAAAACTTTCAGTCTGCCACTAGAAATGATACTGAATAGAGGAAAAACAGTCACCTTAAAAGGAAGGCTGACCTTGGATAACAAGCATCTTGAGAACAGAATTATTTGTAGAAAAAATGTGAACGTATTTACTGATTCATAATTCTGACAGTTGGCATTTAGCTACTGAGCACTGTATTCCTCCATTGTCTAAGAATCATGATTTTAGTATTTAGATGTATAAATACCATTTTAGCTTATCAACTGAAATCTTATTTCGGCTAACTAGCTCATGACAAGCAGTGGATTGAGATAGTAAGTAAAATTTATTTTTGCTGCAGAAACACCCTACCTTTTGCAAGGCTGCCCACTCACAGATTACTAACGCAACACTAATCCTCTGCAAGGCAGATTTAGAATTCAAGTGGAAGAGCAGGAGCTGAGCTAATGATTCAGCTGGCTTTATTTCTTGAGTAACAGTATTTACACCTGGGTCACAAATGCAGCAACAAAGTGCTCCCAGCAACCTGACAAGAAGGAAAAGAACAGTCACTTTAGTGTTACAATTACTCTGCAATTAATAATTAAAAATTAACATGCCAAAATAGTCTACATAATTAGATTTTGGAAAAGCTGCTATATATAATGAAAAAAATACATTGCTTTTAAGTATCTTTTTCATATTTTCAGTAAACTGACTTTGCTGCCATCATCCGAGCACGCATGACAACATAATCCCTTGTTGCTGGATCTTCTGCAATGCTGTCTGCCCCAGCAATATATTCCTGAATCACTTCCTTATTCTGGGTTTGACCTTGACGCAGTTTAGCACCTGCCTTTTCCTGTGGAAAAAAGGAGAGGTTGCAAGTAAGTATGTTTGTAATGAAAACATGAATTCATATTCCATAACACTTCCAATGAAAGTTGGACTAAGACAGAATATTTCTTTGATAAGAGGCTTCTTACAAGTAGTTAATACTTGCAAATCACCTCTCCACTACTAGCCTGCAATGGTCCTGTTAAATGTATGCTATATTCCTTGACTATAACATTAATACTCAACATATAGTTGGTAAATACACAGAGGAAAAAGGAAACATCTTTCAGTATGGTTTCAGAAAAAACACAATGCTTTCAGATTTAGCTCAGTCCTGCAAACAGATGGCTTTGGAACTATGTAAATAAAGATTTTATGAAATATTCACATAGAGCATACTGCATAGCAGAACTTTATTCTCATGGATAACCTGACAAGAACTCTTTTGCTCTACAAAATTGAGGTTTCTAAGACAGTTGACATTTAGAGTTTTAGAAAGGCAGCACCACTCCCCTCTAACATCCTTAGAATGTGTTTTCATATACAGCTAAGTAATTTCATACTTTCCTCAGAACAGTTAGTGAGGTCACATTTCACTTACTTTTGATCTAGTTTTTACTTCTAGCAACATGTTTAAGTCAATGGGCAAATGAGATGGCTGCATCATTAAGCAGAGCCAGGCTCCCATCCATGGACAAGCAGCTGCAACCACATACTGTACAGATGCCTTGTTTAACAGTTCCAGCCACACCTTGGGAAAGAAAGAACCATAGTGAAAATCATGACAAATTTCTACAGGGCCTACATAAAATCATACATATGCTGATAAACTGTAGGAACCATCTCTCATTCACTCTCTAGGAAAGCATCATATAGGCCAATTACAAAATAATTAACAGGAACACATTTTTTATCTGCACAGAGGATACGAAAGAGCAGGATACACAAACACTATATACTTATGTGGTAAGGCATGCAAATACCTTGTGAATAAGATCCAGAATTTCTTGGTTGCTTTCCAAGATACAAAACTGAAATATGTGCCTCAACATGTCTTGCAGAATTGGAGTCAACCATGTTGAAGAACTCTGAAACAAGGATATCATATGACTAAGCATATTCCAACAGGTATCACATTAAAACACTAATAACTAATTCTTACCTGGTCTTGGGTAGACAAGAGCGTGAATAACGTTTCCAGAGCTGCTTTTCTCACAGAAGATATAGTGTGGTGCAAGAATGGCCACACACGTGGGACCAGAACTGTGAGTGACTGCTGAATACTAGAGGAAGGGGAGATGGAAAGACAGTTACAGGAGAAAAAAACCCCACTGACTAGAAAACTAGTCAATTCAAGCATGTATTTTTATCATGTTTTTCCCATCACCCATTATACTTTGGCCTTTGTTCAACTGTCAGAAAAAAAAGGAGGGGCTGTTTCTGTTTAGAACTTACTATTAGGCCTGAAGTTGTACCTAAAGTTATGACTTTACAAATAATGAAACCAGCTTCAGCAATGCCAATCATATAAGATGAGAGAGAAAATGCATAAAGCATCTACCTTAAGTGCAGATGCGCTAAGTTTACCATGTGTATTATGAAAAATTTAACATATTAAGATGCGATTTCTTTAATTTGCCAGAGTCCCAAACAGAGAGGAACTAGTCACAGAATTACTGGGTGTCCTACTAATGTGAATTTCCATGTTTGTAGCTTTCTCCAGAACTGTTCCAAGAGCAAAGTTCTACAGGTATGCGCATGTGTTTTAATGTACACAATTTGGTCTCTTGTTTGGAGTTTGTCTGCTCCTTGTGGGCAGGACCACCATATGAGTGGAGCCAATATCCTTTACTAAAATAGCCAAGACGAATGGAGAGAGAAGGTAAAGAAGTCACATATAAACAATGTCTAATTGTTTAATTCTTCTGTTGCATTTCACAAACATAATGAAAATAGAAGCACTGTCCTAACCTTCACTTTAAGGAAAAACAAGAGTAAAATTTAAATATTGATTTAAATTAGGCATCTCCTTTGATTTGAACACATGATTTGAAAGACACGCATTATTACAACTTGCAAATAAGTGGACACTCAAGCACGTAATACTGAAGCAATACTAATTAAAAAGTTACCTGCATTTGCGGACCTGAGGGTAAGTCAGAAGGGATGAAAGAAGGATCATGATACTGTTCGTGGAAGCTGTCAAGTCATCCAACTCCAGAAGTGCATCCCACAAGGTATTAAGAATAAAAGGCACCTACACAAATAAGAACAAGAGATTACTATATATAAAAAAAGAGAAAAAAATCCAGTGCTGCCTCTAAGCATTATTTTCTTCATTTTGACCACAAGTGAACTTTTCAATCAGAACTTATGGAAAACAGTTCAGTCACCTTCTGAGACTGAAGCTGGACCAGGCTTTCCACTACTGGTACTAAAGATGCTGCAGCAACAGCTCGGACATCATCATCCAGATCTTGCAGACCTTCAATTATTGCAGGCAATACTTTAGGCAACAAAGTATTGATCATGTCCTGTAAAAAAAAAAAAATCAAAAGCATTTTTAAACTTAAAAAGCATGTAATGATCCAAACAATTCAGATGTACTCTGTGTTAATTAACCTGTTTGTTTTAAAGAAAAGCTACCCATTCAAGACTATAAGTATTGTAAGTTACCATTCATGAAGTTAAAAACCTAGGTTATAAATTTGAATGAACTCAAATGTCAGCTCAAAGCTCAGTGTTTGCAGAATACAAACGACAGACTAAACGTCTTGTAGCATTCAGCTCTGCTGCTTCACACATGAAAGTATCATCAAAATTAGGCAAGCACAGCCTCTATTTATAATGTTCTGTGCAAGTAACTTATCAAGTTACAACAGTACAGCTTCACTATATAATTGCAGCCTGGATATAAAAGTGCAGTCACACATCTCATAACCCACAAGACTGCAATGCAAGCAAACTTGTTTTATCATATCTATTTACTCTTCAGCCACATCCTCTACCTGGAGCAGAGTTTTTTGATCCAAAGGTCTCTACAATTTATCATGAGGGTTATTACCTGACGTACTGCCAAAGCATACTTTATTCCTAGGAGACCACCATGTCTCACTTCCCACTGTTCCTGCGTAAGCAGCTTCAGGAGAACATCCACAGTTTTATGAACTCCAGTCTCATTCATGTGTTTCAATACTACTCCCAAAGTCTGAGCACAAGTCTCACGTACTGGTGCTACCACCTAGGAAAAAGGAAATGATAAAACAGATACTTCTGTATGAAATTTGACTTACAGAGAAATCAATCTGAGTAGAGTCAGATGACCAAACTGCTACACAAACAAGGTATTTATACATCAGATACTTTTTAATAAGCATCTGTGAGTAGTTACAACAGGCACATGCAGCAGCACTGTAACAAGGCACAGTGTTATCTGTGCTGTACTACTGTCAGTGTTCTATTGCTGCAGTGTTGTCTCCTGCAGAAGACTGCTGAACTGCCCCTCAAACTTAACTTACTTCATCTGAAACAAAGTCTCCAAATCGGTCTAATGCAAACACACAAAGAAGTCTAATAACCAAGTCTTCTAGCCACTCCTGATGCTGCTGAATCATCTGTAAAAAAGAGAAAGAAAATCAAACACCTTGACTGTGTTCATAAAACATTTCTGATATGCTTGTTTTAGCTAAAATTTGTAAGAGATACAACAAATGTTTAAACTGACTCAATACAGTCACCTTGCACAGTCAGTCAAGGCAAAGCACTAATTTAGCTCACCTGGGTTACTGCAAACATCATAACCTGGTTGGTTTCGGTTATTTTTTTTTTAAAAAACATAATACCTTTACTGAAAGGCTGGTGTCCTGATTTTGACTCAGATAGAGTTAGGTTTTTCTCAGTAGCTGGTACAGTGCTATGCTTTGGATTAAGTACTAAATAATGTTGACAACACACTGATGTTTTGGTTGTTGCCAAGTCATGCTCACACTAAGTCAAGGACTTCTCAGAGTCTCATGCTTTGCCAGTGAGGAGATCTACAAAAAGCAGGGAGCAACCATAGCCAGGACAGGTGATCTGAACAGCGATATTCCACACCACAGAATGTCATGGCCAGAATATAAATTGGGGGAGTTACCCAGAAGGGGCTGATCAGCGCTTTGGGCCAGGCTGGGCATCAATCAGTGGGTGGTGAGCAATTGTATTGTGCAGAACTTGTTTTTCTGGGGTTTTAATTCACCTTTCCATTTAATTCTCCTTTCCATTATTATTATTACTGTTATTATCATTAGTACTATTATAAGATTTTACTTGATTTCAATTAAGTTGTTTTTCTCTCAACCCATGAGTTTCCTCTTTTCCTGATTGTCCACCCCATCCCAGGAGAGGGGCCCATGGGGGGAGTGAGCAAACAGCTGTGTTGTGCTTAGTTGCCAGCTGGGGTTAAAACACAACAGCTAGAGAGCACCTCGTTAGGGTGGACAGACAATTTTATTCCTATACAGCATACAAAGGTAAAGTCATCCAGATAACCTATACCAACCCATGTCAACTCATCCTAGGCAAGTCAATTAATATGTCTGAAGCATATTTACAAATAAACTATAAAGCAGTGGGAGACCCAGTGAAAGGAATTTGCTTTTCAGCACCAGATTTAACAAAGCAATTTAAAACAAACTTGTCTTGAAGCTCTGGCCTCTGCGAGAGACCAATAACTCCGTTTTCAATCTCAGAGTAAAAGCCTCATAAAAGCAACTGCTCAGGCACCATCTTTCTCATCTCCACTGTCTGCATACTAGATCACCACTTCCCTTGAAAACTGTCATTTTAGTGTACATATTAGGGATTTCATATTCCCATACGTGTCAAAGAATTATACCCAGCATACAGCATGCACAACAGCTGGAGAACACACACCCTTTCCATAAGTAGTTAAGAAATGGTTTAAAAAGTATCTTATAATTGCAGCCTGCATTATTATTACCCAGCAATCTCCATGGAACAAATACTACCCCACGTGGAAGCAAGAAGAGAGAGAAGCTTTTGCTTTCCCTAACTACAAAGTATGCTGAAATAGATTGATTTACATCTCCTCAATCTTCCACTCTAAACCACAAGCCCTCCCAGCTGCTTTTACAGCAAAGTCAGTATTAATCTGGATGAGATTCACTATTAGTAAATAAGCTGTAACCGTCAGGTTATTTTATAAAAACTGTTTTCCTTTTAAAAACACTAAGCTTTTTCTCATAACAAAGCAAGCAGATTCACAGAGTCACCTTATTGTTCAAGCAAGTAGAATGAGACACTCTAAGATTTCACTAGAGTTATATAATCAACTTGTCAATTTAGTTTCAGCACAGCTTTACCATGACTTGAAAACAGTATTTTCCAGTATGGAAGCTAGTGTTTAATAACTTTATACACAATCAACATATTAATGGTTACTTATACAGTAGTATAGTAGTACTAATACTAGTACAGTAGTATTGGTTTCTGCACAGGCCTTTTAAAAAGAATGTTTCATCAGTGCATATTGTGATGTCAACCAGATAATTTTGAGCAGACAATCTCATGGTTTACATTCCCCCAGGTCACCCACTTGCTGCAAAGTTTAAGTATTTTAAGAAGTCTGTTTTCTAAACTTTGTTTAAGCAACATATGGAGTCCACATGACTGGAAACTTACCTCCTCTAGAGAGCTATCTCCCATTTTACCACCACTTTTACCATGAGCTTTAAGTATCTCTCTCAGTCCAGTACCTGCACCATGTCGAACCTAGAAAAGCGAAATGAAAAGCCAATTTGAAAATACTAGGGAACAGGAGATAGCCATGTTGGATAACTGAAACAATACTATTGTATTCTTAATAGAGATGTTTCAACTACAGCTGAATTAGTACTAGACTTGTAGGCAGTTATATCAAATCATATACTTAAATGTTCATCTGTCCAAAATCAACCAATTAAGAATTGCTTCTATTTCCTAACATTATCATATTTGCAGTAATATAGCCAACATTCATCTACTTTTACCTCACTACGAGACACTAGCTTTCAGAAAAGAGAAACTAGAAGGTATTACTGGGTTTTTTAAGTTTATAAGTTAAAGTAAATAAATATAAATATTTTTCTACAACTCTTTATATTTTTTAAACAGAGTTTGGATCCTCACTGAATATTCTGGAGTTCGCAGAACAAATTTCTGACTATTATTATTCTGCAGGGCTTACAAACCTGCCTTGCTTGACTCAATACTAGAAAGTAAGTGAACAAGTGATAGCAATTGTAAGCACTTGCATGTTCTCACCAAACATGAACAGCTGAACAAACTAGGAAGAGTTCTGGAAATAACATAAGACCAGTAGAACTACTATTGTTTCTGGTATTTTTGACACTTAACTGGACTAGTAATTGGCTTCTCAAGAAAAGCCCACTCAATGGATAATGAAGTCTTAAAAGCAGAGTTTTGAACCAGGTTTTCATTGAGAGACCTTTACACAGATTAGAGCAGAACTTACTCTATTTAAGGACACTTCATATACATGCTTGTTGCTAGAAAATTATTGTATTTCATTTCATGACAGTAACAACTGGAACTCTGTATTTGGTAGCATACATATCCCCTATGTACAGCTCAGTGGTTGCTGGTTAGAAGTATAAGCAAGCCAATAAAAACCACCAGAGTCTAGTCTTAAAATGCTAATTGTTCATGCACCAATAATTTATTTGGTCTGAGATAGCTTATGAGCTAGGTTTTACAAGTCAAAAGAAGTAGACTTTGCTAGTTAAGTTCTCAGCTTCTGCAAACACAAAAGAGACAAATGTATGAAGGCAATACCAGTAGTAGGATTCATCTTGCCTGACTTCATCTGTCAAACTAGGCAAGCAGCCTGGACTAATCACTCAGGCTGCCTCTAGACACTGCAAGATGCTGCCAGAGACATTTTAAACATGAATTGAGGTACATTAACCTATTTTTCACCCAGAACATAAAGTAATAACAATTCTGTACTGATCTACTTCCTTAATTAAGAAGTATGTGTCCTATATCAAATGTACTAAGGAAGCCATGGGAATGTCTGCATTCCAGATGACAACTGGATGTGGCTTTCAACTGCGAACAGCCTGCTTTCAAATGAGGTGAGGCTTATTAGCTCAGATGCAGCAATATGCCACACAAGTAGAATTATCCTTTTTCTGGGACTAAAATAATTGTGCTGGCTGAATACGATTTATCTCTGTTTTCAAGTTTGAGAGCAAGTTGACTCTGTCCATACTGACATCACTGACACTGTGCTACAGATATACATAAGGATGTTAGAGTTGCTGTTAACATTTAACTTTTCAGAATATCAACTTAAGAAAATTAAGTTAGGTGAGAACAGTTATTTCTATCTTCTGCTCAAGGAAGTAAGATTGTTATCAGCTACTTCACACTTTTGCCTGAAATTTCTAACAAAGTGGAAAATTGTATAAAGACTGAATAAAAGGATGAGCAGAACAGTTTTGAATCTTGAATATAGGTGGTCTAAGCAACAAAATATATAGTTTTTGTAGTTACCAAAGGATTGATTTCTCTCCCTTTTGTACTAGCTTAGCATTAGACAAACATGACGCTGTTCTTTTGTTGAATCCAAGTCTCTTTTAATTGCTTAATCTTTGTGACCATAGACTTATGTGCTTTTATTTTGCTTGAATTTCAGTACTCCCATAATTCTCACTTACAGTGACTACTTTACATCTTTGCCACTTCCCTCAAGTATACGTTATACATCTGTTCTCAATTCCCCTTTAAGTTCACTAAAAGCCAATTTGTCCTGGCTATGTAATCTGTATTTACAGTTGATGTAGTTTTTGATATCTAGCAAAATACTCAAGTTACACACATACAATTTTTGTGCTTCTCTTGAAGCTTTTTTTTTCATCTATAGTTACACCTTAGATACTGCACGTATGTCTTACCTCCCAAGAAGGGTTGAAGAGGTCATTGCACACCTCTTCACAAAAGCTTTCCAGAGGCCACTCATTTGCCTAAATGCATAAAAAAATTCTTAAGTATGAGATTAAAAGAGAAAGGAACCAGATGAACACTTATGATCTTCGTGTATTTAAATGGCACATATAAACCTCCAAAAGTTTAAGTATTTTTCTTCATTACTGAACAGAATTGAAAAAACAAATCTTTCACAGCTCAGACTTTGCTAAGTGCACTGGATCTCTTAAAAAGCTTATGCAGTTTCTGTTAGTAGTGTAAACTCTTCTCTATGGTAATTGATTTTAATGTTCTGGAACTCATTCTCCCTTTAGGAACCATGCTAAAGGCAGAAAATTAGGCAAAGTTTCTTATCCGCCCCAGTGATCCTTTAAATTTACAAACTTTGCCTTTAAAGAACATAATAGGCGAGTCACATTTTGCAAATACACCGTATAATGAAATTGGGTCAATTAATTTGGTAATAAACAGTATCCTGTTCAAAACACATTCCACATTTTTGGAAACCAGAAGCGTATCCACTATCCCAAAATTTCCTACAAGGAAACTGCTGTGGCTGTGGAAAGGAAATTATATTACCATTAGTAAGTTCACATCATCACATAGACAAAGCGACTGAAAAACAGCCAGCAATCAGCAGCTGTTCAGCCTGCACTTATCATTCATCTTTCAAATTAATTTTCCAATCATTTTTTCCCAAATAAAAATGTAATTACAAAACTATGTCTGGAAATTTCTTATTTTTGGAGAATACAGACTAATCTAGATAAAGTCTGAAATAAACTTCTGTGAACCATTTGTATTCTGGCTTAGCATTTCTTAAATTGTCAGCTTTTTAGTCTATTGAAGCAAATGCAGGTTTTTCATCATCAACTGTTAAAGATAGAACTTAATTCTAAATTAAGCCTAATTAAAGTAAGGCAAAGATTAAATAAAGTGTACATGAACATTTAGATCAAATTATTTGTGGCTAACTGTAATCCTACCATCTAAGTGTTTAGCACAGTTTTACAGTTTAATACCCAGGTCTGACACCTGTAGCCACCCTACTCACATTCATTTGGGTCACAAACTGCTACCAGTGGATTAAATGTGTTTTCTTCCTCAGTGCTGTAAACACAGTTTGAAGCTGTCTTGCTTCATTATCTACAAAAGTAATCTGCCAATGACATTCTTCATTCCATTTCTCTTAATGCTGAAATGACTAAAGGATTTGGGACTATAAAGGAATTTTGCTTCAAATTACTTTGCTAAAAACCTCAATGGTTATTCCTGCTAACAGCAGAACAATACATCATACCTCTTCTTGAACATTTTCTACCAATGTTTTTGAGTCTGTAGCAGGCTGGTTGATGACAACATTTGCAACTTTTTTTCTCTTTTCTTCTGGTTCCCCATCGGTGCTATCATTGCTGAGAAGGAATAAGTATAAGTTTATGAACTGGAAGTATGCTTTAGGGGAAGTAATTACTTCTACAATTGAAGTCTTCAGATCCAATAAGGTGTGGCAAGAATACAAAACAGAGAGGTTTAACACTGAAATATGCAAGACAGGTAAGTTTACATGAAAAAAAAAATTCAGTGAGGAGATAGAATGCTGTCCCAAACTGACAGTCCTTCTCAGATTTTTCCAAGAAACACAGCAATTCCTAAATAAGGTCATTAATTTTGTTCACTGCTTATAAACACAGTAGATACAATAATATGCCACTATAAACTAGTGAGGAACACAGCATACATCAGAAAGTTGAACAATAACAAAGTTAAAGATACATCTTCTTAAACCCCCACTTTCATGCATTATTCTCAAGCCATATTTAATAACAGGGACAAAGCACAAATTTCAGCTGTAGCATCCCATTATTTCAAGATGCCTCTGAAGCTCCTTAAAGTATATGGAACAAATACTGCAAACAAGCTTTTCACCATCAGCCCAATTTGCACATAAAAGATTAAGATGCAAGGACTGTAGGAAGTTTCTCAACAGATAAATCACAATCCCAGCTTAACTGAAATAAAAGCAAACCAGTTCACTATTATACCTCTTCTCATTAGCTTCCACTGCATCTCTGGATCTTTGCTTTGCAAATAGCTTAGCCATTCTTTTGGCTTTATTCTTTTGTCTACTGCTCATACCAGCTCGAAATTCTGAGTCAATTAACTCAGCAGCCTGAAGAGTCTGAAAGAAAAGTCATTCATTGTCAATTCTTTCAATGAAGGTCCTGAAAAATTCTCAAACCCACACTGGTCTCAACTTCCCCAACCCTCCATTTCAAACTCTGAGAGGCAGTTTGACATCAAATAATACTAACAGGCAACTATGGGACATAAGAATTCAGAAGGGTAAAGCATACCATATTGGATGTCAACCATATTTAAAATACAAATATTATAACCACAGAAGTTCAACCCACTGTATTATTCCTTGCAGTCAAAGAGCCCAAGGTTTTACCTACAGGTTGTTTGTTTACTAGTAAAACTGAAGAAGGGGAATAGTCCAGATCTTCATCATTGAACAGATCCTCAGTATTCATTCCAATCGCAGCGCCCATATCCAAGCCAAGTTTCTTTTGCAGCAGTTTCCTCTGGCGCGCTATCCTCTCTTTAGGATCAATCTCACCTGGAAAGAAGTTTTTATGAGAAAGATGTCTTGGGTTTCCACACAGATGCATTACTGAAAACTTGCTCAATGTATACAACATAAGCCAAAATTTACAGAATTAAATTGTACTTGGCTAATACAGTCTCTTAAAACACATCACGCTGATACCCAGAAGACCTTTCCTGCTACTCTAACTACACTGCTACTTAAACTGATCAAATTTCAAGCAGAAAATATTGTCCCTGAAATTCATTAAATTATAATTGGTCCACAGAAATAAGAAAAAAAAAACCAACCAAAAAAACAAAACCAACCAAAAAAAAACCCAACAAAAAAAAACCCCCCAAACAAACAAAAAAAAACGAACAAAAAACCCAAACCACCAAAAACTAAAAAACAACCAAGTTTTGACTTGGACAAGAAATTGCACTTTGAAAGGAAGAAGTTAACACACTAAAAAATAAAAGCAAAGACTGATTCAAGAACTATCACTTTTTTATTGAGCACATGCATCCTTGTGGGATCTTTTACTTTTGGCAGTCTGTGTTTTCAGGGTTGGTGATTAGTTTGGTTTTGGTTTATTTTAAAGGTTTCTTTTCCTCTTAAACTTTTATCTTCTGTTGGAAAATACAGACCTAAGAAATAACCACCTATAGAACCCCTCAAATGATATTTAATCCAATACCCTGTATTGAGCTGAATATTGAGGCTGAATATGAACTCATTTTCTGCAGAAACATTCTTCCCTGTAAAAGACACTAGACACAGGTGTCTCCTTCTGCCCAAGCTAACTTCTGATGGCAATGTAGATTGAGGATAAGATTGTAAACAGGCTTCAGCACCCTATGAAAATCATGCTTATGCTCCCATCTTCTTCTGTGTTAAGCAAGTTTCATTTTGGAAGCTAACAGAAGCTACCCCAAGAATGTTGTGAAGCTTCAACACTAGTTACCAAACACCTAGATTTCAGGACCACCTGTATCTGTCTACATAAAAAAAAATAGAAGATTTTAGCAGTTGAGTAGAATTAACCCTCCAAGTAAACCAAAACTTGTAACTTGTAGGGCTGTCAGACTTCACTCTTCACATGCACAGTATAGGAACCAGTCAGAAGACTAGCTTGTGGGGTTTTTTGGTCAAATATTAGCACATAAACTTGCAAGTAGATGACCAATATTGGCACAATTTTGAGGTATACACCAAGTTGAGCAGTAATTAATAGTTAATTATATCTACACCAATAGGTTTGTACATTGCATTTAGCTGACAGGCAATTACAAACAGCTTCCATTCTCTACAAAATATTTTTCCTTTCATAAAATCAGCTTAGGAAAAATTGCCAGACTGCTAATTCTAAAGATTATTTAAGTTACTTTACATCCATTCATATCGTCTTACTTAAAAAGGGAAGCTGCTACAAAACAAAGAAGAGAAAGCATTTTCTCACGAGTTAAAAAGTAGCAACTAAAGTTTTTTCATTTTCTTATTTTTGTTACATTATATTTTTATTTATTTTCATTCTTAAAGTTATTTATGTGCAATCATATGACACTGGGATAAATATCAGATTTCTATGGACTAAAGTATTGGGTTTCATTAGAAGAGAGGAACCTTTATAACACCTTATTAATCTAGCAAAAAAGATGGCAAGCAATAAATCAGCAGCCAGGCTTAAGAGAGAGGACACTGCTCAAGTTTCAGCAGCCATAGGTTCTGCTCCTTGCTGAGCTACTGATCTTCAGTGTACACTGCACAGAACCCTTCAATACACAGAGAACAAGGGAATCAGGGCTATGCAGTCAGATCCTTATCTATAGCATCACTGAACTGGAAATAGAGTAGGGAAGTACAGTAATAGCAAAGAAGTAGCTTAGATTAAAATAATTCAATGTCATTACACTGATATAAACCAAGTCTCAACTAAAAAGTTACATAAAAATTAGACAAGTCACTTGAAACAAAAGACATGACACAGGCACTGGTATTTGACCTTCCAACTTCAACAGTCTTGTCAGTATTTTTCATGCAATCTTTCTATACTAGAAACCTTCAAGCTTTTAAATAAGCTGCATTCTACTTCTCTATTTCAGAACACTGTTTAAATGAAGAAAAAGTGGTGATAACTCCTGCCCTTCTTAATGATATCTACAGTAACTATAAAGAAGCCTTAATACTGTTTTTTTCTGCTCTCTTTCAGGTTTCCACTCTCTTCACCCTGTACACATTATAATTCTGTAAAGGGAGAAAACAAACAGACAATACACCCCCCCCAAAAAAAAACTGTTTAACTTGAAAAAGGTAATGCAAACCACTTATGTTGGGGAATATTTTCTTTTGTTATTTCCCAGCATTCTGAGAATCCATGGATGGTTAGACTCATAAAACTGCCACAACAAATCTTTGCAAATTAGTAGGTTCTCTTGTCTGCAAGTAAAAGATAAAGATATACCTGATTTATCATCTTGGACTTCGAATTCTGCACCAGCAGATCCAAGAAGAGATGCACCATGTTTTAACAACCGACAGATATCAAATCTGTCAAAACGCAACCGATCTGTTGAAGGGGAATCTTCCACAGGACTTTCTGAGCCTGGTTCTAGGTAGAAAATAAAAATATTAAGGACAATATGATGAAATTTTTGTTCAAAATTCTAGCAGAAGATTAAGCAAGAGCAAGAAATAATTTCTCTCCTCTAAAAGAATGAGACATACAGCATTTTGATTCATGAAGTGCAAAGGCTCGCTTTTCACAGAGACAGACTTTGTCTTAGGTCACTCGATGTGCCTAACTGACTAGAAAAAAAATTTAAAAGTTTTTCTCTTGATAAATTTAGCTTTTTTAAATCTTTGACATTAACATTAGTCCTTCTCTGTACACATATAGTCAATTTACAGTTTGAACTGCATATGACTCACATAGTTCTATCAAGTACCTCACCTATAGCATACTCCTGACAGCCAAGCATCCCTGGTAGGGAAGCTGGAGAGTAGTCTTAACAGGTATGGGAAAAAGTCAGCTAACAAAGGCTGCCGAAGACAACTATGAGCTCTTCTCAAATCCAACTTCAAGTACAGTGCAGTTCAACACTGATACAGAACATATTTGTTCCTCACAAGGAGTCATTATTTCCTGATTATGAATTCACTTTCAAAATATTCCCTCTCCTCAACATGCAAACATTAGCATGTTTTGTGGCTCCTAGTCACATATAGCTTAGTATCCAAATAGATTTGGCTATTCCCACTTAAACCAGCACACTCACATCCTGAATTACAACTGAGAGTACAAATACAATTGTTGCCTACAAGAATTACAGCATTTAGTTTGCTGTGTTTCATCTCATTTATGAAAGTTTGTTCATTTACAGTAGGAGTCAAAGTGCACAAAATATCACACAAAATAAACATCGCCTACACTTCATTACACATATACAAAAAGAGAAGTGATTGTTGCAAGCTGAAGAACCTAAATGCAATCAGACACTGTGAAACATGTGTTTGACTACTACCAACAGTTTAACTGAAATAAAAGAAACAAATGCCTGCATAGCCTGTCAGCCCTGTTAAATGGTACCTTTTTCTCAAACACACATTATTACCTTTTCAGTTTCATCAGTCATCTGATAGGCAGATATGCAAGAATTGGACAGCACATTTGAAAGAGGTGCTGTACCCTAAGACTTACAGGTTGCCCAATATCCACGTACAAAACACATGCTAGAAGTAATTCTTGGAACTAGACAAGTGAAGTCAACTTCTATCTTTGGTTGATAGTAAAGTCCCTGTCTGTGGTAAAGAGAGTGGAACTAGATGATCTTTAAGATCCTTTCCAATCCAAACTATTCTATGTTTCTATAACTAAATTATTAAGTATATGGAAAAAATATGATTTACTGGGAGTCAGAATGGCTCCTGAAAAAATTCAAGCACCTTTTATTAACCTGATTATCAATGTCCTTAAAGAGCTCCAGCAAGTAGATAGAGGGCATCCAGTGGACATTTAAAAGCTTTTGGCGAGATTTCACAGAAGAAAAATAAATCAAAGGAACCAAGTTAGCAAGAACTGGGGAAAACATCCTTTTACAAACTGAAAGGGGGTTAAAGATCTAAGTCAGCTTTGGAGTCCTTTGGGGATCAGTTTTAGAACCAATTCTATCACTCTTTAGCAACGGGAAAGAATTCACTACAAACTCTTCTCCAAGCACAGAGATGACAATAAGCTCTTGGGTAGCCCAAAGTCACAACAGCATTAGGAAATCCAAGGAAAACTCTCAAAACAGACTAATGAACAAAGAACTAGATAAGGTGCAAAATGAATAACCTAAACCATGCCCACACAACACTGAATTCTGAATTGGCAGTTAACATGCAATACAAATTTTGTAGGGACTTTTGACAGTTTTCTGTATTCATCAGTTCATTGAGGAGTCAAAGCCAGAACAGCCAACTAAGTACTGGGCATCACCAGGAAGGACACTGAAGACATGACAAAGCACACAATTTTGTCACTGTGTGTAAGTATCAGTATTCTAGAGATGTAGGTAGACTGTGTGCAGTTCTGTGCATTTCAAGGAAGACGAGAAAGAAACAGCACAAAGACAAATGAAGATATTTAAAAAGACAAAGCAGCTGTCTGGTGAGGCAAGACTGAAGAGACTGCAACCCTTCAATATGAAGAGAAGTTGTTGGAGGAGAGCAAATATGATGATTTACAAAAATCACAAAGACAGTGGATTAAGGTAAATGCAGAACCTGCTTGTCAAATTCTGTATCAGCGGAATCAGGAGGCACTAAATCAAACAAATACAAGATCACCTCAAAACAGATAAGAGTTCTGTTGTTGTTGCTTTGGGGGTATGTGTGTGTTTGTCTGTCTTTAATTTAAACAGTCAGTGAATTTCTGGAACCTGTGCCACAAAGCTGTGAACATAGACGGTACCAACAGGTTTAGACAAAATTACTGACAGTAAGTCCAAAACTTGACAATAAAAGAAACTAACATCCCTAACGTGACAATTTCAGATGCAAAGTGAGTAAAAACAGAACAAGATTGAGCAAGCTGTCATTTCATCTCCCTCAGAAAGGTGCTCTGAGCAAGGGTACAGCAAAGAAAAGAGTTCCTGCAAAATATTGTGAGGAAGTTGATTGGTTAAACATTTCGTCATTTTACTAGTTATTCCTTTTGTTTATAAAAGCTTTATGAGGGTACAGAGCACAAGTATAGGAATCTTCGAAGAAACGAAGGTCAGGCACAACTGAAAGTGAACATCTAAAGCCAAAGAGGTTTACTAACAGTCCCACTTACATGCATATAAAAGTCTACACTCATAAAAAACCAGAATGATACAGTTGTATTGAAAAGTCTCATACTGCAGTCAGTTTGCATAAGATAAACAACGAGTTATACAGTTTAAGGAGTACCTTGTTTTGATCTTGGAGTTGGATTCCACTCAGGTACATTTTTCACTATTGCTTCAACAGCCTGGCCAGCTGCAATACGAGTATCCCAGTTCGTACTTCTTAAATACACTAACACCTTTAAGGAGAGATTAATAGGTAAATAGATATTTGCTTAAAATGTACTTCCATAAAATCCATCAGCTGTTACACTCAATCCATAGCATAAAAGTAAGTATGTTTTAATAAAGACAGCAGTCAAAACAACAACAACGAAGGACAGGAAAACAAACCAAGAAATGCCAGCAGCCTTCTCTGTAGTGCTCATTTCCTGGCAGAACTCCTGGCAGAGCCAGACATTAAGAATTTAAAATATATTTACTCCCATCAGTCAAACTCAAGCTTGATTTCCTCCAGCTAGTTAACAAGGTTCGATATATTTTCTGGTTTTAATTTGTTTTATTGTTTTCTAAAAGTAAATGTTCAAAAGAGATTAACAGACCTTAAAACTTTGAAGTCATTTAACCCAAGAAGAGAGACAACATGGGTCACTTGAAGCATATACACTATTCCAAACTAATTTATCACTATGTCACAAATCTGGAAAAACTATTTCTTTGAAAGTAGTCTGATATTCTCAGTTACTTGGCCACTCTGATACCATCAATTGTGGTGAGAGCACCTGTTCAATAAGAACAGAACTGAGATCACTGAGCCTTACCCAGCAGTCAGATACAGACTATTTTTAGTGATTTTACTGGATTCGGCCAGATTGAAGTCTCAAACTAATGGAAATCTCTTTCCACTTTCCAGCCCTTTCAAAGACATGCAGCCTTCTATATTTTTAATGCTTTATCACACAAGTAATAATCTGTAAAAGCAAGAGCAGAAATCTTTTAAGGCAGAAGAGCTTTCCTTTACAGAGGAAAATCTGAATTTACAGATTACAGATATACAGAATTATATCATTACAGAAAGCAAAGTGAAACCTCACTTTGTAATAATTTCAAAAGCTGATAAAACAGCAGGTTTAACAGAAGCAGACCCCTAGTTTTCTTCAGTCTCCTACTTTTGGAGAACACAAGACTACCATGCTTTTTCTTCTTCCCACAGAACCCACACTCCTTTAAACTAGTTTTATTCTCACCATTAAATACTAGGGGAAAAAAAATATGCTTACTTTAGATAAGAGATTATTCAGTTCATGAGGATGCAGTTTCACTACTTCCCCAAGTTGCTGTGCAGCTGCTTTTCTTGTTACTGGTGTTGTACCGGTGTCCAGTAAAATAAAGAGACGATCAAGCCTAAATATGATTGACAAAAACTGAAAATGTTACACTATTCATAGTTCAGTGCCCATTTCTATTAATATTCCCCCATATTTTTCAGTTTATATAACTCAAACAGAAGAGAAGCTTGCCTGAAGACTGTCAGTTGGCAGGGTGAATAACATACTATTTTTCTAATAGTAAGCATAGTTGCTTTAAAAACCACATTTAATTTGGCAAAAAAAAAAATTAATAGAAATTGTCAGAAATGTTAGTTTAAAAAACCTGCAATTATAAGAAAAAAAATTAGTTATTCCTGTCTTTGTTCTGTGACAAAACATTTTCAATCTTGAAACATAAATGCTGTTATATTGTAAGTGATCAACATCAAATTCTGTCTGATAGAAAAAGCAGAGGGTTCAACTGCTGCTATTGTTCATTAGCACTTTTTCTGACATCATAACTTGTGATCTATAACATCAGACTCTGCTTTTCCATAATAACAAATTTTATTTTTCACATATTTTCTCCCTAATTACCTGGAATATATAAAACCGACCTCTTATTGTATTAACAGCTTTGAAATAATCTGATGCTTCTGTCCTTCCCATGAAATACAGGGATTTAACCAGTACATCTGTTTTCACAGTAACTCTGTATTTAGTGAAAGACCCCAATCATCTATTTTTAGAACAGTTTGCTCATTTCTTGTTTAGAGTTACTGAATGAGAAATAAAAGTCTCTGTTTTGACATAGTTACCATGTAAAAAACTATCTAGATATTCAAATCTGTGACTGAAGTTACAAATGTTCATTATTTCCTCCACGACCACTGGGTCAGTTAGAGGTCTAAGGAGTGCTAAGTTTATCCCCTGGGCAATAACAAGTTATTACTGACTATGGATCTAGAATCTGTCCACAGAGTGCGATCAGAATTGCTCCTTAATAATAGAAATACTCCTCCAAACATTGCAACAATACGAAATTGGACTTCACACAGCACTGACGCTCACCTAGATGAGTTTCATCTGGTATCCCAAACAACTCTTCTTCATACTCTCACAACTAGAGGTATTAGGTTAAATATTTGTTAGATTTAAAAAAATTCTAAATCAAAAGCATTTCAAATTTTAATTTTTTAGACACATTTCTGATATTTGTCAGCTTAGAAATAATTATCCTCCTGCTACTAGGTGAGCTCATTTCAATTTCTGCAGATTAATAGTTTCAATTGCTATGATTTACTAGTTAGTAAATTGTTTCAAAGTCACAAAAATTAAACCCCAAATATATCTAACCCAGTAGTTTTATGTGATTAGACAGTTAAGGAAGAAAGAGCTTCACATTCTTCCAAATTGCTGACATGTGGACTAGTCATGAGAAACATACTGGTATCTAGTCATTTATCAGTATTTTTCTTCAGTATTTCTGACAGTAATAGCCCAACCTGATTTGCAGCAGTCAGTATTATTCAATACAAAATATGGTAGCTTTCAGAGGCATCACTGCTTACTCTAACTTGCTTGTTCTCACCTCTTTCATTCTTCTCTCTCCGTGAAACTTCAGTGTTCCATATTCATGTTTGCCATTTAGCACCACCCACTCCTTTAACTATTAAATTATCTTTTTTCATCTCAAAGTCAAGCCGAATGTGCAACTTTGACCACTTCCTCAGCAAGAATTCGTCATGTGTCAAAACAGGAGGAAACCACTAAGTTGGCCTACCCTCAAAAACTCGAATTCCAAACCTAGTTACAACACTACATCTTCACTCCTAAAACCCACAACTTTTTGAAGCTCTGTTACTTACAAAATATAGTTTGTTGTTTTGGGGGTTTTTTTCAACCTGCAGTACGCTTGGTTTGTAATTTGTGATTTTAAATTGCAATACGCTTAACTTACACATAAATGCAAATTAAATCAAAAAAATCTTTCAGTTTTTACACACACACACATATATATATTCACAAACAGGAAGGCTTCAGCATTCAACCCAGTAAGATAAATGGAAAGAGAATTAGCTAACAACATCTGACTAACAGTACTCCTGGTCGTGCTAATCATTCTTTCTTTCTCTCCCCCAGACTCCCCTGATGTAGACTTCCCAAACTGTTGATAATTTAAAAATCTTAATAGCTCCAAATAAGTGTTGGTGTTGCTGCAGCAGAGTATGGCAGAGCCTGAATTCTGCTTGAGTTGGAAGGGTAGCACTGCAAAAGTTCGACTGATCAGCAGTGCTAGTTTTTGGTTTTTTTTTTTTTAATTAAAGCTTTCATTCTGAGTTTCATTAAGAATGAAAAAAAAAAAACCTTAACGATCCTAAACAAATTATTTTTGAGTATCTGCAGTTTGGAAAGAAGTTTTGTAAGTTCTGACAAGGTCATCATTCTCAGGACAAACTAACAGTCTCTAACTAGTTACTAAAGCCAAAGAGAACTAAGTTCTATCGTGGCATGTGGTTCCTGCCTCTCATTACAGACAGTGCTGTAAGCAGGCACCATGTGTCTCACATCATTCACAAATATAACATAGAACTGTGAAGCAGTGTGGTAAGAGTGTGATGCTCTAAAATACAGATAACATTTTTAATTACTTCATGAAATATTTCAATGCAGTCTGTCAGAAAAATTGTTCTAAGCCTATGGAAGACAGAAGCAAACAACAGAAATACAGAGAGTACTTTGAGGAAAAAAAGCTTAAAAAGAAAGATATATGAATTGTTACAAAAAATCTCAATACCAACAAATATTAAAAATTAAACACATCTCTAGAACTACTTTTCCTGGACTTTAACTGCTGTGATCAGTCCTTCACTTTTTTTAAAAGTCCTTCACTTTTTACTCATAAGCAATGGTTTAGATAATCCTTCTGTCATCTGCTAATCCCTCATCAACTACATCTCACCTAAAGGACAGCAACCATACACAACCCCTATGAGCTCATTACCAAGCACTACCTTACTCAAAGGCGTAAATAAACTCTTCCTCTCACTTCAGAAATTTGAGATTTTCTAGTCCCTGATGAAGTGTATCATCAAGACACAATTGGAAGCAGCAATTAAAGTTCTTACGATCAGCATTACACTCAAGTATTTTTCTTCTAAGAAACACCTTATGAGCTGTTACACTGACATTTGACTGGAAATGTTTCTGACACAAAGACATCAAGGCAGGTGCTTAAGAACAGGCATTCAGTAGCATTTGAGCCACTTCACTAAGAAAAGAGCCACTAAAACTAACTTTGTGGCACTCTCCAGGTACCATCTTCTAGTCACCAGTTTCACATGTTCAGCATTAAACCAAGCTAGACACGACCCAAACCCAGGCACAGTCGGCAAGTGCTGCAACAAGTGACTTGTTCTGTTCTTCAAGCTAATCTGCAGTTCTTTGCTGCCAAAAGTATCACCCCAAACAGAGGCTGATCTCCACCTGAAGGGACAGTTGTCATACTATTTAAAGTGAACCTTACGTCATTCCTGTGGAAACTGGATGATATGGATTTGAAAGCCCTTCAGCAATAGAGGCATTATCCAGCTAGTAGCTGGATAATCAGTGACCAGGTCAAGCTACAGTTATGAACAGTTGTCTTCAAAATGGTGGCAAAAGAAGATGTCTGCAGCTGAATTGTATAAAGATCCCAACTGGCCCAGTGTAAGTATTCTGACTGGATTGGGTCCCCACAGGGCTCCAAATGACCACAATTCTAATGTGTTGCTTTCAATCAGTTGAGGCTTAAAAGGGACAGCAAACTGATCACTGCGGCCAATGAAGTGATCTGTTTGGACTTCACATCTGTGTGCACCACCATGTGTAACTGTCCAGAGAGCAATCTCTGGCAGTAAAGGCCAACTGGTACAGAATACTGTGTAACTACCCCAGTGTATCCTCCAACCCATTAAAATGTGTGACTGTACAAGAAATCCTCAGTGGTGTCGTCCCTGGAACACTCTGCCTAGAGCTCTTTGAAAAACTGCTAGCTAGTAGTACCCATCAGAAGGCAAGGGAATACTCCAAGGAGTTTGCTGTTGAAATCGTATTTCAACACCCAGAAGCTTCCTCACAGGCACTATTTCTTAGTACAAAAATAGAAAACATCCCTAAATTAAAATTTAGACTTGTCCAGGGTTGATAGTCACTGTGAAATTCAACCTTAGTTCTAATGGAGACGCCTGAGCTTTTCTTGTTGACCTAACACTCCTGTGCTGTCACTTCATCATTTGGTCAAATCCCAGCTTGGTCAGCATCACAGCCTTAAACACCTACAGCCCCTACTAAAGTATACATGAACTGTTGATAATCAACTTTCAAATACACAATCAGCCAGCAAGAGAAAAAACACTGAACAGAATTCAGAACAAAAACCAGAAGTGCAATGATACACGTAAAGGATGGATTGTGATTTTACTTCTTACAGGTAAATTATAGCCATGAAGGCGGGATTGAGGACAATGGAGAAACCTTGTTTCCTGCACAGCAGCTGAAGGAACATCCAGAATAAAACAAGAGCTCCATGACCACACTGGGTCACAGTATTATATGTTGCATATGGAAGCCAACCAAATGCTAAAATTAGTATAATTAATTCCATATGGATTGTATATTCCATATATGATCTACAGCATTAGGCTGTACCTGTTTTACTTGTAAACTACTACATATGTATCTACAACTAACAATGCACCCCAACACATATGGCCAATTACATTACAAACACTACGAGAAAGAACAGGAAATTGAAACAGCTGTCAAGACATACTAATAGAAGAAGTGTACTGATAAGTTCCTCGCTGAGAATAAAGTTCCATCTGCTGGAGCAGGTTGCCATTCTTAATGTACAATCCTGACTTTCAACTCTCACTTCAGTTCGTTAGAAAAGAGTGTCTGAGAAACTTCAGGCTCTATCTCGTCTGGGCAGCACTGCACATGCTACTTCTGCTTCCTCCCTTCCCATGACTGTCAGCGCTCCCTCCCACAAACAGCAACACAGTCAAAGGCTCTTGACTGTTCTGGTCCTCAAGTTAATCTCTACCAACAACA